CCTTGTTTTTTGCTATCTGCATGCATATAATAAATAAATAATAAAAATGCTAATTTGACAATTTGAATATATTGTAAAGAATAGACAAATTACACGATTCATTCAAATAAATAATATATAAATTCGTGTACGTAAATCAGATTAGATTTTATGATTTACTTGTTTGAAGATTCATCTTTTTTTATATTCAATGTTATCAAAATTAAATTTATATAATTTCAGATCAGTACGTATAATAATCATTGATAATAAACTTTTTAGAGAAAGAGACATTATATTGATCATAACTGCTAGAAATTCGATCAAAACGACACACGAGAAGATGGGTTTCAAAATAAACTTGTTATTCATGCTTGTCCTTAGCATGTTCAGCATGGGATATACTATAAGACACTTGCATTACTATGAAAGATGTAAGTGTTTTATTTCTTTCACATTGAACACAGTTATATATTATTATATTTGCTATTATAATATTTTTCATATAATTTAAAAAACTCAAATTGTTAATAATTACTTAATGCATATGTTTTGTTATCTTAAGTTGCCATATGTTGCAAAAATTTGAAGTTGACAGTTTAATTTTATTGCAATGACAGATTGATAGAATAGAAATCTTATTGTGTATAAATTAATATGTATCCTTTTATAAGTTACTGCATGTGTTATGATTTAACTTTTTGCACAATGTATGTCTCTTTTATAGACAATATTACCCGTGGACATGGCCGTTTTATTTTATTTCCGCACAGGCCATCGTTGAGGGACGAGATACGTTTCGGAAATCTCAAAAACTGGTCTCACTTTACTGAATAGGGATAGCGGAAAAAATAGAATTAATTTTAAAAATTATCAATGCATGAAAACATGCTGTCAATAATACTCTATATATCTTAACAATGAAGAATATTTTAAATTCATTCAAGAATATAAAATTCTTGAAAAAAAAATTTTTTAGAATTTCCTGCATGTTTATATGAATTTATAATAATTTAATATTGAATTTAAATTGAAATACTAAATGAAAGACTCTGCGAAGTCTTTATAAAATACTTGCAAAAGTGTTTTATTTTTACGATAAATGACTGTAATAAAATGAAGT